CCTACTCTCCAAGAAACAACACCAGGTAGATTTCTGAAGACTGAATTGAGATATGGCCCCTCCCCTAGGACAACAACATCCCCGGAAACCATAGCAGAGCTCTGCCAGGAAATACTAGGAGACGAACGCAACAGGCTGAGCAGAGCATGGGTTTGAATACATGGGCAACAGAGTGGTAGGAGGATGGACAAATCTTTTGGAAAAACAGGATTGTGCTCTACATCACAGAGATGTTCTTCATAACTTTAGTTTGTATTTTCTTGGCTTGCCACTCTTGACAACTCTGTCATAAAACAGCTCGCTCTGGAATACTCTGCTCAAATTAATCAGCTGTCAGTTATTTTCCTGTTAAAACTAATAATAGGAGGTCTGCATGGACCTGTGTGAGATTCGAACACAGGAATGTGAATTGCGCAGCTGCAAATGTTTCCATACCGCTGCAGCTTACAATTGCTTTTTGCTCTCCACTGAGAGGGCATGAAATAGCATTGCAGGGAGCAGCTCTTGCATCGTCAAAATTGTCCAACTGCTCTCAGCATGTCCATAACACGGTAAACGTTCAATGATGCCTTTCAACTTTTAAGCATGTTTGAAAGGGGGGGGGAGGGGTGTTCTGGTCACAAACCAACAGGCTCAGCTGGACCGGGGCACAGGATAATTTGATGGCTTGTATCCTTTGTGTGCCAGCTGCACAAGGGATGCCAAATTGTGTTCTTGCCTTTGGCAGAAGTTTTAGCCTCCAATTCATCTTCTTGTCATCAAGCTGCAACAGAATAGGAAAAAAATGGTCCAATGGGGGAACAGTGCCTCTAACTGGACGGGTTAATGGGACTCCTTTGAACAGCCCCATGCATACAACAGTTTGGCTCAGAGCTGGCTCAGAGGATTAATGCCTCATGAGGTCTTAACCCAGAATAAGAGCTGGCACTGGAAGAAAGCCAACTGTGCCACACTCCTCTAACCGCTTAGGGTACTTGGTTGTTGTCACATGAGACTTAGGAACTGGGAGGCTCTGTTCAAAAAGGGCTCAGAGTTGAAGTGCATTTGCAAAGCCTGCAGAAGCAACAAGAAGTGCACCTGCCTCTCCCAGGTCTGCCTGCAGCTAGTACTGTCACAGAGCTTGGCCTCCACTGGCAATAGGTTCACTTGCAGCCTGAAAAATAAAAAAAGTCTCTGAGGCTTTAAGCAGCAAGATGAAGTTTAAATTCCAGACCGGAAGCCTTAATTATAACAGATTTGTGTGAAAGTTGCCAGATCTCTCCCTGCTCTGTGATCAGCGCTGTGCCAAGAGTCTGCTTTGTGTCACACTAGCAACAGTGTTAAGTTCAGCAAAGTAACCAGGTCAAAGATGGAAAGGCAGAACAGAGATCACTGATTAGTGCTAATGAGACCTTGCATTGCAGAGCAGAGTAACAGTACAATCATTTCAAGGTTCTTGTTGTAACTAAAGGTAGCCACATTCGTATCCAGTGCATGCTACTCAGAACAAATCCTTTTGCACTTCTGACTTCTGCACCTTAGAAAGTCACTCAAAGTCACCATGACCACACAACAACTTGAGAGGAGACAATAGCAAGAACTAGTTGTTCATACTGCTGGAATTTAAATCAACTTAAACAAAATGAAGGAAAGATTAGAGCATCCTCAGGGCAGCTCTTTAAATACACAGCACTGTTGTTTTCAATCAACCAGTTCAACCTTTTGTAAGCACACACTTATGTGTAGTGAATACTATTCTCAGAATTTAATGGTGCATCTGCCCATACCTGTAATAGCAGGTACTGCTAAGATCACCCCACCTTCAAAGAAAACAGCAGAAACTGAAACAACTGCAGTTATTTTTCTAGTGTCTTAAAGAGACTTTCCCTAGGAAGAGAGATTGAAAAGACTGGAGTTATTTAGAGAAGGGAATAAGAGCAGAAACAAGTACTGAATAAGATGGAGAAAGCCAGTCCTGGGCTCCTAGATATCCTCAACTTATACATCAACAAGGCTGTGTATTTCCAGCTAATAGACAAACGTGTGTCAGCATAACAATTAACCTGGAACTCAGTGCAACAAAGACACCACAGGGCAAAGTACATTTTCAGTCTACAGATGAGCAGTTACACAAAAGATGATCTTAAGCAAGATAAATCAAGCAATTAAAAGCATTATAGCTCTTATTATAGTATTATATATGTAAATTACTCATTAGATAGTCAAGGAGAGAGAAAAAATATTTCCACTATGTCCATTCACTTTCCTTCTAAGTGCAATGAGACAGGACACAACTAATCTTACCAGAAAAAGCACAGTAACCGCTGGAAAACAGAGACACCGCCTATTCACAGACAGAAAGCAAGCAAACAACCATGACACAAAAGAAGTAGTTCCATGAGACCGACAAGGAGACTCACATCAGGATAACAACATAATGCAACTCTCTTCAAGATAAATAAACACACTTGAAAAGTGGTAATTCCAGCAGGCTGCAAACGGTGGGCTAAGGACCATACAGTAGATGGCCCACAGAGCCACTACATCTGTACAGACTGCTTGAAGAACTCCATGCGCTTCCCTGGTATAACAGCAGCCTTCTTGAGTTCTGCTCACTGCTTTAACGAACAAAAAATACAGTGTGTCAATGTCTATGTGCTGCTGGCTTCGTTTACGCCCAGCCGTAATAGCTCAGCCAGTAGATACCTTTTGTTATGAATGTAATTATAAAAATACTATGATTTATTAATGTTCTTTATTTCCTACTGGTAAAGTTTACATAGTATATAACATATGCAGACTTCATTTGGAATGTGCCAATTCAGAATGAGAGGACACCTGGAAATTATATTACAGGACTATGGAAGTGATGCCTGGCATCACTTTTCAAAGTAAGGTGTAAATACTACAACACAGACCATTATGGGAAATGCCACTCAGCCAGAAACTCTAGAAAAGAACTCATCAGGCTTCCTACCATATTGCATCACAGGACAGATAAGCTCCAAAAAGCAACTATTGCCTTTGGGATGCCTCCATTTTGGGAATGCCTAACTTGGAACAGCTTGCAGAGATCTTTCAGGAGGTTCAAACTGACAGTAAAATTAATACGTTCCAATTTTGAAAACTGTAATCGTTTCGCATTTCAGAAATTTGGGTGACTAATAGCGTTTTTTCCCAAATGAGCCTTAAACTTGTGTAATCAGCACAGCATTCCTTGTTAAGAAGAGGATGGTTTAAATTAGGACATCAGCACTGCAGATATTTCATTTCTGTTCAAGAATGGCATAAGGATTCCCTACTTAACTGCTCTTAACCATCAAACAGTTGGTCAAATCATTATATTTTCCTTAATCAGGCTGTTATTTGATAATCACTAGCAGCAGTATTTTATTCATAGAAAATCAAGCTGGTCAAATCTGGTAGGAAAGAAGAACATAAAATGTTACATTGTGCTGATTAGCCCTTAAATCACAGATGACAGCTGTCAGCTCTGTGCATATGTTGTGGCAAGATTACCTGCTCCATAACAGCCTATTTCTCCCTCATGAAGTACTCTACTGACAGATCACAGTGATAACAGTATTTTCTGACTAAAATCTTCCTGGAATTCATCCTTGAAGCACAGTTGATAATGTCCTTTAAGGAAGAAATAATTTGCGCGTGCGCGCGCGCGCACACGCACACACACACACACAAATAATGGCATTGTGTGGGGAGGAGAGATGGGATAAAGGCACCTGATTTCCATTCCCTGCACTACTCCCCCTCTAGAATGATTACAGCAGAAAGTGGAAATAAGCATCATCATTATCTCCGATGTGTGCTAGCAGGCACACTGAGGCCAATCAGCAGTGTCTGTCATTGTTTGGTGCAATACAAAAGACCCTCTGTCTGGAAAGTTCAGGAAAGAAAACCAAGAGCCAGTGGCCTGGTCCTACAGTCAAAAGACTGAAACAGAGGCTGAGAAGTTCTCAACCACAGGCTGATCCGATGCCCTTTGAAGTTGACGGGAAAACTCCCATGGACGCCAGCATGCTTTGGAGCATGCCTGAAATGCACAAAAGGAAGCAAAGCAACATAAAAGTAGCAACAAGCATCTGACAGAAGGGAGTTTTAAACAATGTAGGGGTGACCTAATCTTCTCATCATGGTTATCAGTTCAGTGTGTTTTTGTGATGTCTGAGAAAGGAGAATTGTATCAATTTTCTAAGTCTTTTCATTAGGACATGGCAACTGCATATTAATCATTAGGTATTTTTCACTTAAAGTACTATGCATGCCATCCTAATGTTGACTGTGGATTACAACATTTAGCAAACATGTCAGAGGAAAGGGGGAAAGCACCTCTTCCAATTGCTGGATTTATTAATTTAAAGTTTTCCACTTTCTCCCTCTCTGTACCCCCTCCCCCCCAAAAAGACTAGAAACACAGTCCACGACTGAAAATCTTATTAAGAACAATGCTGCCAGCGTCATCTATTCATAAGCAGCAATCTGAGACAAGAGTCCACCCCAGAAGAAACTCTCGCAGCACATTCTCCAAACAACCGCTCAAGGACTCCAAGTGCATGGAGATTCCAAATCCTCTACTTAATTAAGAGGCAATTAACTTTCTCATTGAAGATAGATACAGGAGCACCCAAAAAGAAAGAAATGCCTACTGAATCTTATAACACTTCCATAACTATTTTATTGAATACAGCAGTAATTGTATTGTTTTAATTTTAGTGCTTTCAAGGTCTCAGTGATGTTTTCTGGGAATTAATTTCTTAGAAATTTTTTAAGCACTTTTTGCAACCTTTGCACAAGATTTGCAACAAAGGGCCAAAGTATCTTTTTTCAGAAATGCAGGATGTTTCTTCTTTCCCTGGCTAATAGAATCCAACTGTTGCCGCATGACATCATTCCCCAGAGCTAGGGAATCCAAGCTAGCACAGACGCTCGGCTGGGAGTAAACACCACAGAAAAAAACTTCTCAGAGTGGGAAGAAATAACACAAAAGAGGCAATTGTTGTTACCTGAAATTTGGAGCACTTCCCTTTCCACTCCATTCTCAGATTTGTACTTCCCAGACAAAATTCCTTCCTATTATCTGAGGCAATCGGAAAACCAGTCGTTGAGCGTCTAATACCTGCTGGGCTTCCCACAACTCCTTCATATGACCTTTTGCAGCACTGATTCCAGCAAAATGATTGCAGAGAACACAGACTGGCTGGGCCAGTTGTCATGGAGATCTCTCTCTCTCTCTCTCTCTCTTTTTCATACATACACACAACACACACACACACACACACACACACACACACACACACACTTAAACAATTCTGGGAGGCATCCACAAAACAGCATGCCTTTTCATCAGCTAAGTTTTTGAAGCATTCCACTCCTCCTCCAAGCCCTCCCTAGAGTCAGCCCAGGAAGCTGAGCTTTGGTCATGAATCGATTGTTGAAATAAGAGATATTGCCTTTTAAAAAACAACACAGAACTTGTACTTTTTCCCCCAAGAAGCAAAACAGAAATGTTTGCTTGCCAAAGCTTTGAACTAAAGGCAAATCTATTGCATTCAAACCTGCAGGCTGTTTATCTTTGCCTGCCTTGTTATGACTTTGATATCTGAAAGCACTACAGCTTTGTTGAAATACAATCATGCAAATTATATGAAATGCTCCTGGCATGGCCTGACTGCTTACCTTGCTGTTCTTCCTATACCCAGGCAGTGACTCAGTTAGCACAGGTATTCATGGTGGTCATGCAGGACTTCCTGTATTCTTTCATATTTCTGTGTTTAAGTAGAAAAATCTGCAGGTCAGGAACATGCAACTGTTTTTAATGAACAAACTAAAGTAATCCCTCAGCCAAATAAGAAAAAACAGACAAGTTTGGACTTAACAATTTTAAGATTACATGCCTCTTACCCAAAACCCACCATCTCCCAGTTAAAGCAAAAACCCATTTCACTGACATCTGAGACTACAAGAACTGATTAATTTAACATATTCACTGGCACCATGGCTGCAAAACAAAACTAATTCCAAACATAAAGAAAGACACACAATATGTTTTCCTTGACAAAAAAATTTCTAAGTTAATCCCCACAAATGTCATATAGGAAAGTGTAGATTGATAAATCAAGAGAAACAAATAATTTTAAAAAGGAAGGAAAAAGAACATTTAGTAAGAATATACAGTAAAAAGCATGCAGACTTAGAAGAACAGCACTGTGCCCAAAGTTTTTACACTTTGGGAAATAGCTTGGAGAGTTATTCTTTAGAGGATTTAATCAGAGTGAGTCATTCAAAGTTTTAAAACTTCATAAAAGATATTAAAGGGACTGCATGATTCTGCTTTCTGCAACATGCAATATGAGCAATAGTCCACCTAGTGGGCATAAAAATACAAAGCTGAAAATAACTATCCAGTACCAAGTAGGAAATCACCCAATCTATTTTTTCTCCATCATCCACTTCATTATGCTGTTGTGCTATTCCATCCCTACATTTACCAAAGATCGTTAACAATTCTCGCAGTCCAAAGAATATAGGCTGTTATCAGCAACATGAAATAAAATGAGCATTTATAGCTGTTTTTATTTAGGGGATATAACACAAGAAAACGTTTATGTACATGCTATTACATAATCAACACAGCTAGGTTTATATATGAGGAGATATAAAAGAGTTTCAAGATATTTTTCTTCCAGTTATGTTCGTAGCATGGGCTTTCTATAACAGAGATGGCATAAAACAAGCCTAGAGAGCCTGAGGTAGTTTAGATGTCTTATGGGAACACCTGTCTACACACAGCTATTATGAAATATAAACTATGCTAGAACATATTATTGACTATACTTCTGAAAACTTGACTTTTTTGTGAATAATGAAGCTGTCAGTGGACAGCACAGGTCATTCCACTTAAGCCACTTCACATCATTCTTTGTTTGCGTTGAAAACACTACCCAAAAACTATTTGAGAATTATGTTACATAGTTATTAAAAACTGCATAAAAATTATTCACAGATAGATGAATATAAGACAGCTACTCCAGCTGTTAAGAATCCAGAAGATGCTGAAATAGCGTCATATTAAACAGTTTCTCTAGACATGAAAGTGGCACATACTACGGCTGCACGTTCATGCCAAATTCCTTTGATTCACATGCCAGTGAATCCCTGCAGAACCACAGAACTCAAATAGAAAAATGATACGTTTTCACCTTAAAAAGCCTTCTTTGGTGCAGGACTGAGTTAAGACTGCTGCAAGTGGGCAGTTTCAGCAGTATAACTGGGGGAAATAGGGAGGCAGGTAACTCCTCCCAAGAAAGGGATATTTTCCCCTACATCGTTGCAAAGGGAGCGCTCAAAGATACGGAAGTAATAAAAAAAAAAAAAACCCTAAGAATTGATCAACAGGCAGGTGAAACACTTAAGTCTTGTCTATCAGTCTCAGAATTTCTATGGACCCCATTACTGACAGCATGGGATTAGTTAGCAACCGTCTGCGTGACATCCCACTCCAGAATTTATCACACGCTCTGCAGCACTCTGCTAGGAGAACACATCTGCATACATGGCAAGGGGCTGGGGGGGGAGCACGCATGTTAGCATTTGTAAACAACTGAAAATGTTCATTGCATTACATATACACTCAGTTACAGTCAAGAGCTCCAGACAAAACAAAAAGTAGCTACAATGTATTACGTTTGCACAAATATTTGAGTCCAAAACACAGTAGTAAACAGTACAGCCTAAACATTGGTCTTGGGCAGGAAACTACCACAGAAGACCCCAGACAAGCACCTTTCTATTCTAAGCCTCATAAATACACTCCTAATCGATTTCTTGCCAAAAGCCAAAATATTTTGTTCAAACTGGTCTGGGTGAAACAAGAACCATTTCCATCTTTTACTTTTTTCCTGGCTGGGTTTTTCTATGGGTGCCTCAACACCTCAGGACTGAATTTAGGATCACAGAGAGAGGACATGATGAACAGTTTCTATTACATTAATTACAAAATATATATCAAAAAAGTGTCATGGCTACACTGTGATGAAAAAGTATCAGAACATGTATCCTTACCCCCTGCAGTATTAGAACAATCCATTACTCACATATGGCTGATGTTTAGTTTCTTATTTCCGATACACTTCCCATTTCTGACTGACGGGTTGAACACACTCGCTCCTATGCTCCGCAGCCACGAGCACAGGATGCAGAAGGCACGTGACATACGCAGGAACAGACATGCACTGAAAAGGATGAGCGCACAGAGAGGGAGACCTCACCAGGGCACACCTGGTGCCTGTGCCCTGGAGAGTGGAAATGGAAATATGAGCTACTCTCTCCACAAGCTGCAGGGATTGAGTTTCTTCACTGAATGCTTTTCAAATCAAGCAGCCATGATCAGGAACAGGAGTGGAAACAAATCAAATTTGCTCCTAAATGGCTCATGAAATCTTATTGCTTTTGCTAGGTGAAAACACAGCATCAACTCTGGGATTTAAAAGGACAAAAACAGAGATGGGTTACAGACTAGCCCATCCACAACAGCACTGCACATCTTTAGTGGGTATAAACTGAGGTTAATTAGTGCACCATCTTCAGTTTTCCTTTGCTTTTTTTAAAGGGAAACTAAGTTCCATGTACAATTACTCATGTAAAGTGAAATAACTGCATTTTCCCCTCCTCAAATGACCTTTCTGCCTCCCTTTCCCACAGAAGATGAATACTTTTTTCTCTTCCTGCTACTGTCATCTCTACTTCACAGTTACTGATTATCTTCTCAGTGACCTCAATGGATACCTATCTAATTAAACGTAGATAAACTTAAGACAAAACAGCAAAAACGGATGCCTGAGTACCGCTGTCCTCAGGTACTTTTTTAATCTGCTACTGTGAGAAGGCAAGTGCCTGCAGCTCCTGCTGACCTCACTGCGAGAGACAAGGAACTAGTTAGTACTTCCTCATCACCAGGCAGCGACTTGCAAAGACATGGAAATAAGGGAAAAGGCATCAGCTCATAACACAAACCAGGCTTGCCCTAGATAAATTGTGGTCCTTACTCGTTGTTTAAAGGCCCAGTGCTCAATACTTTCGCTCAGGACATTCATTGACTTCCACAGCAGACAAGGAAAAGACATTCAGTACCGCTAGTATCACGGTCATCTGAGCAGTCCCACGATGCCTGAGAGGTCTGCGAATTCAGGGTCCACAGCATCAGCCTTTATCTTTCAACACTCCAGCCCAATAGCACAGCAATACAAGTGCCACAAAATAACACCTCTGATCACCAAAACTTTATTCTACCAAAGTGAATAAAACTTCCACTGACTTCAGTGGGACATTGACTTCAATTTGGCCTAACTAAATCATGTTTTGCTAGAAGTGTGGTATCACAGTAAGCAGTACAAAAGTATCTCTTGGCCCTGCAAACATTTAAGCAAAGGAGTGACCCTACATGTGAGAGGCCCCCTGATTTCAATGGGATGGCATAGGTGTAGGTCTAGGATCAGTGAGCTGTGACCTTGTTCTCTTCCCCCATTTCCACATCAGATTCATTACCCATAACACTTCCATAACTCTCATTTCTAGCAGGACGATTAAAAATTTTCAGGACATCTTTTAATAGCCCAACAAGGATCATGTTTGAAGCACCGTACTGATTTCACTAACCAAGAAAAAAAAAGTATATATACATATGTGTACATAGGAAATGGCTAATCATAGCTGTGCGCTTTTTGAGAGGCTGCCAATCCCTTTATGGCCCTATATCCCATCCTCATTTTGCAAAGGAAAGCTTGCCATACAAGGGTCTGAGCTCAACCTCTCCACTGGGCGCATGATAACAATTTGCAAAAGTTGCTAAATGACTGAGTTAAACTAGAGCAAATCTGTACCTGGGAAATCATGACCAAAGCTGACACACATTCACCTCCTGTGCAAATACTCTTATTCAGAAATGAAGTGGCTTTACTTCGTGGATATTATTGTTTTAGGCCCTGATTCAGCAAAGTACTTAAACATTGACTTCAAAAGAACTTAAAAATATGTTAAACAGGTGCTAAAATGTTTTTACCAAAGTGGCGCCTTAGTAGTGTTGTATATTTTAGAAAGGACAGATGGAAACAGTTCTTATTTGGCAATTAAGGTTTTAAGATGTTGTTTGGTGAATAACAGGGACTCACTCTCCATGCTAAATATACTAACGA